TTTTTTTTTAAAGAAAAAGACATGTAAAAGAAAGAAAAAATAATTACAGCATATATTTTACATTTTTTGAAGACTAGATGCCTTTATATTAAGCTTCCCATTGCTTCTATGCTGTTTGAGGAACTTAAACTATGCCTGCAATTTCCTTTATGTCCTTTCATATTTTCCCCACTAGTTAGTACTTAGTAGAGCAACTGTCGGAAGAACACAAGAGCATGCGTGTTGACTCACTGGTGTGCTTGCTCTTCCTTACTGGGGACCTTCCTGAAGCGTCTCACATGTAACAGGGATATTTTCTAGGCTACTTCTCACTTTCATCGTCATGGTACTGAGCTACAGTTAACTTTGTTCAGGTAATGGTGTGTGTGATCATTTGAAGAGTCTGGTATAATGTCTGAGTACTTGAATTGGACTTGTGAAATTGGAAGTGGGAAGCTTCCTCTGGAAATTGTGCTATGATTTACTTTTGCCTTAGGCACATCTGGAACGAAGCCTCTCTTGATGGAAGTAATCAACCTCTGTTAGGACTGAGGGACAGTGTATGTTTTGCTAACTTCCTCCAGAGATTACTGCTAATGTACCAAAACAAAATTTGTGACAGGTAGAACAGAGTTTTAGTAAAATTGACATGTTCTATTAACAGAAATTATATTAACTCAAAATTTATTTTCCTTTTAGTTCGCAGGAAGATGAAAGACCCTTGTCACCTTTCTATTTGAGGTATTTATTTGCTTTTTTGCTGATTTACTACAGGGAACGGAGGAGGGTTATGGCTTTGGGGGAGTTGATTTGTCCACTTTAATATTTTACTGTAGGATATTCTACCCTGGAGTCAGACTAAGCTCGCTGAAGCTGTATTTTATTCTTGATATATCTATCCTTCTTTGGTTTAAGAAATCTTTTTTTTTAAATGTTTAGTATAGTTGAAAGGACTAAAATTAGATATTTTGTTCTAAATTCACAAATGTCAAGGTGAACATTCTAATTTTAAAAACTGCTTGATGATTAGGCTGTAACATAAATTAAACATCTGACTGGGGATGTGTCATACTAGTAGACCACTTGCCTAGCAAGCTTAAGGGCCCAGGTTCAATCCCCAGTACTGAGAGGGGAAAAACAAAATCTGTTCTCCACCTATAAGAGGTGGGAGGGGGCAAGGCACGTCCAAGGAGCAACTTACACAAGACATCCTGGGTAGTAAGAGCTTATTTACTGCAGAGTAGGAAGCTAAACATTTATCAAGTTTGAAGTTAGAGAATTATATTCTAAAGTTTGTAAGACCAAGATGACAACTCTTAAAACCAGTCAAGTTATCACAATTCAAGGTAGATGCTAGACTAGGTCACTTTTTTTCCCACTGGCTGAATGCCTGTTGTACTTATGCAAGATTTTCAGTGAACTGTCTGAGTGAGCTATCACCTAGAACCAAGTTCCCCTGGTTGCATTTCATTCCTAATTATCTATCCACTTCAAGACTCAGAAAATATGTCTGAAAATGTAAATTAAAGATGTTGAAATTTCTTAGTCTTTCTTCAATTTTGAAGCCTACTTTTAAAAGAAAATGTCAGGCTATGAGATACATAATTTTTTTTTATTTACTTATTTTGAATCTAATTTGTTGCAATAGACACAGAGTTAGATTTAGAGTATAATTCTATCACCAATAGCTCAGAAATGTGTCATAGGACGTCAGGCTTAGCCAAGTAACTGCTTTTGGGTAATGTTCTGCCCTTTAGAGACTCGTAGCATGTTGCATAATCACTTTGTGGCAAGAGAGGGAACATTTGAGGTTTCAGTTTGAGACAACATGGTGGTCCATTTTTTTTCATCCTGTTTCTTGCCAACCAGATCAGCATATTCTGGTTCATAGGCTAGCTCAACTATGCAATTACTGTGAACAAATGAGCATGTTGTTGCTGAATGCATAGTGTCGCTGGCATTCATTATGTAAATATTCACAGTAATATCAAACAAATGATTATTACCTATTAGTGAAAAGTAATAAATAAAAAGTAAGTTTTACACAATATGGGACACTATAGCACCAGATCATGCTAGCTAATGAGAACTATTTCTCTGAATATCTTAATTTTATTACTCTGAGTAATA